TCTCCTAAGCCACCTTCCCTCTGACAATTGTCAGTCTGTTCTCTGTATCTATGAGTCTGTTCTTATTTATTGTAGTTATTGATTTTTAGAGAGAGAGGAAGGAAGGGAAAAAGAGATCGAAACAATACCCTGTTATTCCACTTATTTATGCATTCTTTGGTTGATTCTTGTATGTGCCCTGACCGGGGATCAAACCTGCAACCTATGGGGATGATGCTCTAGTCAGCTGAGCTACCCAGCCAGGGCTCTTTTATTGTTTTTTAAAATTGCTCCTGTGCATAGGAGAATTGAAATAATAGGACAACAAATAATAGAGCCCTTTACCAAAATCCGATAATATTTTGATACATTTACTTTACATATTTTTCTATTTTTACACACTTTTTTTTTCTGAACCACTTTAAGGATGTTTCAGATATCTTCACACATCACTAACCTTCCTCCTGTACCTCCTAGGAATAAGGATATTTTCTGAGATCACACAATGCCATTTTGATACCTAAGTAAATAAAGAGTGATACAACTTTTCTCAGCGTTCCTCACATTATTTTGTTCTGTTTTATGGGTTCCCTTCCACTCAGAACCCAGTCAAGCATCCTGCACTGCGTTGGGTCAGTGTGTCTTCAGCAAAGCCTGTTCTCGTTACTCTGCGATGCCCGGGAAACGCTACCCTCAACTGCAACATTTTGTTTCCACAGGCTCGTCACGCTGGCCAACCTCCCTCCCGCAGGGTTAGACAACACAGTAGCCGAGGGGATGCGCTCAGAGGAAAACATCTATACGATCGAGGAGAACGTGTACGAGGTAGAAGATCCGTCCGAGTACTACACCTACGTCAGCTGTAGGTAGCGATCCTGACAACGTCTGCGTTGCCACTCTCCTTCGCCGTCACACCCAGCTTCGTTCTTGAGCGTGGGTCGTCCTCTCCGGAAACTCTGACGCTGATGGGCGTCCAGTGTCCTCCACGGCTACCGAGCACCCTTTTCCATTTTCCGAAGACAATGAGCCCACCGAGGACGGGCCCCTGCCCTGCACAACACTCGGGCCTGTCACAGCATTATTGCCTCTGGCCCCCGCCAGCAAGGCTGCTCAGCCCCGAGACTGGCACTGGGGCGTCAGAACTCAAGTGAGCTTCTGTGTGAAGCAGGAATCCGTACTGGGGGGCCCTGGAGTTCCAGGGATTTCGGTCCCATGATGTGTCCTCGAAGCTCCTGAGAGCGTAGGGAAAGCTGTGTGCAGGGATGCGTGCGTGTCTGCTTGGCCCAGAGAGCCTAAGGGCCACTGATTCTCAAGGAGCGCGCTGACTCATAGAAGGTTAAGAACCCACTGGAGCGGGACTAGGTGGTGTGGAAGGTTTCCCTGGAGACTCAGGGTTTCTGGGCTTTGAGTGAAGACTCCAGCAGCAGACGCCCTGCACGGCTCTCCTGCCCCAGGCAAGGAGAGGGCCCAGCGAGCCGGTGGCGGGGCAGGAGCACCTGGGGAAAAGGGAAGCATGCTCGGTGTGTGCTGTCAAGTTCTGCTTGGGGCGCACTCAGAGGGAAACGTCCCTGACCCACTTCTCCATTCACGGGGAGAACTGGAGCTGTGCTGCTCACAGAAGAAGAAGCAGTGACTGGGATGCAGCGTCGGGGACAGACGTTTCTTGGTGGAAAGAAGGCAGAGGGCTCCAGCAATCTGTATTTGTCAGCATTAAGCCCCCTCGGTGGAAAGTCCCCAAGCTTCCATCCCAAGACTGTGGAGACGAGGTCTGCCTCACTTACTGTCTCCCCAGTGCCTGTCACTGCTCTCACACATCACAGAAATTCACAGACACAGCTGTGTGCCCTCACTTCTCGGAGAACTCACGAACCCCCCTAAGCTCCATGTGTGCTCTTATGCAGGTAGAAGTGGCTGCTGTCTCTCAGCGTCCTCTCCCCTGTCAGGTCCTTGGAGGTCTGTTACCCCCCATCTGTTCCCCTTCCTGCTGGGCCCTCCTGGGCACGCCAGGACCTAATCGACAACACACACCTGCCACTGCCTGAGGACCGCCCCCCCGCAGGTGGTGATGGAACTGCTGCTGTGTCTCAGGCCCTGGATGCTAGTCCCCAAAGGCACAGGCAGCCTGTTGGGTTGTTGCTAGGAGGTTTTCTGGCAGTCTGAAGGAACTCTTGTGTGAATTCTCATGCTGGGGCTGTGTCTAGGCAGTTTGGGGAAGCACTGGCTTTTTATAGGGAGCTATGGGAAGGAGATCCTTCTGCAAAATCCTAGGCGGTGGCTCTCACACAGGTTGAAAATTAATTGTAAATGTTATAAAGTTATGCAATTATGAAGGGAAGGTCAGGACACACTGGACCAGTTCAGTGGCTCCCTCCAAAGGAGCTTCTCATCCTACAAAATCTGTAAGCAGGTGTGTGCGTGCACACGGATTACCATCACAAAGACGTTTGTGAGAGACCTTTTCCCTTGACAGGGGAACAGTTGATTAGTGTGGTCCAGGAGCCCACGGGTGCAGGCAGAACTAGGTAGTCTTCATCCCTGAGCTGTTTTGCTAATTGAAGAAATATTTATTAATGCTTCCTATGTGCCAGGTGCTGTGATGCGGAGACCAGAGAGACAGACCAAACAGACACATCCCTGACCCCCCAGAGCTCCTAGTCCGACCGGCAGGAGTACCGGTTCCATCCGGGCGGGCTGTGAACGTTCACGGGCGTCTAATCCGTCAGGCGCTGGTTTAGTCCTAGGAATAGAATAGGGAGGGAGCAGCTAAAACCCTTCCTCTGACAAAGCGTATGTCACTTGTCAGGGAGAATGCTATATTGCTATGTCTGAAGAAATAAAAACTTTGAGAATAGATATATATATATAGTTAATGCAAATTTTTTTCTTTACCTTACAAAAGTCTGGAAGACCCTTCTCTTTTTGGCAGCAGTAAGGCGTGCGGTCCTGGTCTCTGTAATACATGGAGGTAGAGGGTAATGGCTCTGGCACTTTCTGCCAGTCTGCCGGTTCTGTGCTTTAGGGCTGGGACACTGGTAAAATAAAAAAATCTGGAAGAAATGAAACAAATTAATATGTTTACCCCACAGGGGCAAATGGTCAAGATATAGACTTTCACTTTTTTTCACATGCTTCTGTAACTGTTGGATGATCTCCATTTTCTTTTGTGATCAAAAGATAAGTTTGAAGCATTATAGCAATTTGTCGTTTGCTAGGAAGAAATGAAGGTTGCTCTCTCCGAGGAGCAGCCACGCTCTCTCTCACTGCTTCACTAATAAACTCTCTCCCACTAATAAAAAAAATAGAAGGAAAGGAAAGGAAGAGAAAAGAAGAGGAAAAAAACAGAAAAGAGAAAAGAATAAGACTGGGACAAGCTAACTAAGCTAGGCGTCAAGGCCGGCAGTGGAGTGTGGCAGCAAGCTAGGACTGTCACCCTGGTTTTCAGAGTAGGATCCACATTACGTCAATTGTTTGCAATGGAAAGGTGGCAGAAAGGGGAACCAAAAGCTACGTCAAATGCCCTGGAGATGACAAGAGGTAAATGGAAAACAGTGTAATAGTATTGGATGTGTGGTTTGTTCATGGAGCGCTGTCTAAACCCTCACACTTTCTGTTTAGAGTGAAAAAGGAAGGGCTCGCTATGTTTTATCTGTCCATTACTTTTTCTAGGCTCGACATTCCCGAAGCAGAAATTCCAAGTGGCTCATCTGTCCTTCCCTTGGTTGTGCTGACCACCGGTTTGGAGTTCTTTTTACCCATGGAAGGCAGGGCCCTTCACCAGCAAAATGGTTCCCACTGGATTTGCTGTGGGTGATCTGGGACTGAACCCACACAATCTCTAAGGTGTCATTGCAATAAATTTTGGGGCATCCTTTGGGCTCATTCTTATTTAAATTTCATAAATTTACATGATACAAAATTAAACTAAACCACATGAGTTCATCTCCAGCTTTCTAGTGAGAAAGTGTGGATCTTTCTGGAGATAAGTAGAGATGCCCTAGAGCTGTGATTTTTAAGATTTCCATTAGTGTTGTCTGGGACTCAGCTGGAAAGAGAGGGAAAGGGGTGGGGCAGCGGGTGGACCATTTGAGTGAGAGGTTCTCAAGCTTAAGGGGGGCTCAGATTTGGGCCGATTTTCACTGGAAACCTGGACAAAGATCAGTATGAGCCAGAACTGTTCCTTTCAGGCTTTCAGCTCCTCTGTACCTTTTCTTAGTTAAGCTGACTACAGTTATAAAGGACATTCCAAGTGACTCATTTCCCCATAGTGGCGATTTTTTTTTCCTGAATTCTTGTTCACATTCCTTTGGCTTCTCGTGAATCTCTTTTCCCAGAGAAAACAGTGAGATTTTTAAAAAGCCTTATTTATTTACTTTTAGAGAGAGGCGAAGGGAGGCAGAAAGAGGAAGAGAAACATCAATCATTGTGCAAGAGATACATCGATCAGTTGCCTCTCGCATGCCCCCAGCTGGGGACCTGGCCCAACACCCAGCCATCTTTTGGTTCTCAGGCTGGCACTCAATCTACTGAGCTACACCAGCCAGGGCAAGATTTTTTTAAAATGATTATTTAAGAAATTCATGTGTGGTGGTGATGGTGGGCTATTTGTTTAACCATGCATATTATTTTAATATAGTTGTTTTGTGGGTGGGTCCCCTTTAGAAAATATTTTATAACATTTTACATAGTAATAAACAACAAGTCTTGGAAAAGCCCAACGCTATGAAGTCTCTCTGACCCAGCCCTCTTCCCTAAAGCTGGTGTGAAGGGAATGTCTCACAATCGCGTGATAATGCAACAGGGCACACGGGCTGCAAGTGAAACTGTGGATCCCAAAGCAAATCTGTGATTTTCTCCAGGTTTCCAAGTGGATGACACCATGTCTTCAAATGTTTTCATTTTGGGGTGGGGTTCAGCCACCCTGATAGCGTAATTCCTCAGGGAAACAGCCTACTGTGCACACGTGGTTCTGTAACTGAACGCAGTCAGACTGCCTGCCGCTGCGAAAGCCAGTTCTCGAGAGCCTCTGTGATGTAAAGGAAAGTGGTTTATTGGCAGATGCCGGCCGTCTATAAGATGGGGGACTCACGTCTCATCTCCACACCTCAGTGGAGGCAGAGGTTTTTATAAGGAGTGAGAGGGGAACAGGACAAAGAGATCAACGGAGGGGGTTGAGCAGTTCTCTGCGTGCAGATGAGCACACTTCATTCTGACAAGGTAAGCGAGGGTCTGGTATTCGTCACCCTGGTTTTAGTCATCCTGGTTCCAGGGAAGAAGGTCTTAAATCTGCATGACTTTTCAGGCCTGGAGTCCTACTTCAAATCAAGCTCTGAGCCAAAACTTCTAAAGACAGCCTAGCAGAGAACAAATACTCTTCCAGCCCACTGATATCTCCTTGTAGTCTGCTTAAGTTAAGTAGATAAATTCAGCAGGAACACTGTGGCAGTTTGGAGAAGTTGGATTTCAAAGATACTTCCCACTGTTCTTATGGAAAGGCGTGGCAAAGAGATAAAGAATGGAATTCTAGAAGATTGTTGTCTTCACCCATAAAGAGCTTTGGGGGAAGGATCGGTGACAGCCACCAGAGGCAGAGCTGGAAGCCTCCTGACTCACTGGTAAGTAGAACCCTCTGGAAATTTATGTCAAGGAGAAAATCAGAACTTTGTTGCTTGAACTTTCTGAGTATTATAGGACATAGTAAGACATGATGCCCTGGCTGGTGTGGCTCAGGGGATTGAGCACTGGCCTGGGAACCAAGGGATCACTGGTTCGATTCCCAGTCAGGGCACATGCCTGGGATCCCCATTTGTGGGTGCATGAGAAGCAACCACACACTGATGTTTCTTGCCCTTTCGTTCTCTCTCCCTTCCCCTTCCTCTAAACATAAATAAATAAAATCTTTAAAAGAAAAAAAAAGACAAGGATGATTGAGCCAATAGGAATTAGGGAAAATTTGGAGGGGGTGGAGTCTATGCGGTTGAGCTGGTAAATCCTGAACTCCTTCCCAGACGCACGTCAGAATTAAGTCTAAATTGTAGCATAGCCATTGCTGGTAACCACCTGAAGACTGACTGAACAGAAGGTCCTTTTAGGTTACAAAGAAGAAGCCCCAGAGAGACAGGTAAGAGGGGTGAACGTGCGGTCCGGGCAATTTCCACACCCCCGTGTGGTGGTTCATTAGTGGGAGGGACAGCTGGGCTGCAGAGGTTCCCCGCTGAGGAGCCAGCGGGCTGAGCGCCACGCCAGCCTCCCTAGCATGGGGCAACTGTATTGGGAAGATGAGTCTCCATTACATCCAACTTCGAACACCAGTGGGGATTATGTCTGAGACTGAGGAAGGGTTGTGGGAGACCAAGGCTCTGTACTTAGAGGGTTCAGCACAAACTCACTCTCACTCGGCTCCAGCACTGAGGCAACAGTCCCAGAATTGCCTGGGACGTACGGGAGGAACTGCATTGACTAACTTGAGGGCAAAGACTGGAGGGACAAGGGTCGGTAGGAGCTATTTCAGGGCACGGAAGCTCTGGTGGGTGTTATCGTTCCTTTGCTGCACTCTCCTCCCATCTAGCTGGCCCTGAGCGGGCAGGCATGAAATTTCTCTTTCCATCAACCTGGCCAACACTGTCTGCCCTGCTCTGGCTTTCCCCTGAGACCCTGCCTCCCCTACTTCCAATCCGCTCAGCCTGCTGGGCTTGTTCCAGCAGCTCCACACCCTTCACTAGAGCCTTTGGGCCCTCGCTGTCTCTTCTAAATGCCCTCTAGCACTACAGGAGTCCTGGGTTGCTTCTGGCTTTCCTTACAATCTCTCCCAAATGCCCTCCAGCTCTATAAGAGCAGCAGCTGGGCTGGACACATTGTACTGCCCCTCCCAAATGCCCTCAAGCTCCAGAGGAGCCATAGCTGTGTTCAGCAAACCACGCCTCCATCCCCACCATCCCCTAGACTCTCCTAAAAGCCCTTAAGCTCCTTACAGGTAGTGGCTAGCCTCAGCTCCCATTGTAGCTCCTGCCTTAGCACAAATGGTGTCAGCCTCAGCTCATATTGTAGCCTTTTGCCAGTACCCTCAGCCTGGCACAGGTAGTAACTGGCCTGGGCTTACTCCATGATAGCTCTGACCAAGTGGCCCCAGGACCAGCCCAAGTAGCAAATGGCCTCAGCCACCACAGGAATCCCACCTAAGCAGCTCTAAAACTGACAACTGGTGGGCAGCTAAAATAATGAATGCCTCATAGGATATAGGTGGGTGTCAAAAGGTGTTAGTATAAATATTTCCTGTAGCATAGAAATGCATACCTTCCAAAATAAAAAAATAATTATATGGGAGAAAATAAGCCAAATAGCTATAAGACATTGAGAAAAGAATTTGAGGATGATACAAATAAATGGAAGGATATACCATGCTCATAGATAAGAAAAATTAACATTGTTAAAATGCCCACACTACCCAAAGCAATCTACAGATTCAGTATAATCCCTATCAAAACACCAATGCCATTTTTCATAGAAAGAAATAATCCTAAAAATGTATATGGAACTCCAAAATAGCCTGAATAGCTAAAGCAATCTTGAGTTGGAGGTACCATGCTATTTGATGTCAAACTGTACTAAAAGGCTATAGTAATCAAAACAGCATGGTACTGGCATAAAAACAGACACAGTTCAATGGAACAGAATAGAAAACCCAGAAATAATCTCACACCTATATGGTTAATCAATCTACGAAAAATGGACAAAATACAGAAAAGGTTAAAGGCAGTCTCTTCACTACATGATGTTGGGAAAACTGGACAGACATATGGAAAATATTCTTGTGCACACTGTATACAAGAATAAAGGAGCTGGGAAATAAGGGTTTGCTTCCGAGGACAGCTTTGCCTGTCGGAGGTGCAGAGCCCTCAGCCACCCTGAGCTGACAGAGACCTGAAGCCATTGTACGCGGTCACCAATCCCCAGCAGGGGAGGCTCCTGCGATTCACCCAGTCAGGGTGAAAGCAAAAATTGCAATCTGAGCATTAAGACTTGTCCCCATACCATCTGGTGGGGGGCACACCAAACAGCCCATTTTCTCTCTCCTTTAGGCTGATACCATCATGCATTCCTGGGTAGCCTTCACAGGCCTCCTACTACTTTGGACAGGTGAGTGAGTGGGGGGGGGGGCTGGGGTTTGGAAGCCCTGAGCGTGTGGGTGTGGTGGAGGAAGATGGATGTTCTCGGGCTCTGTTGGAAGGTAATGGGTCAACTAGTGAGCAAAGAACCAGGCTGCAATCTTCCTCCAAAGAAATTGCTGAAATGCTCTCAAGTACAAACTCCGTGGCTAAGTATAACTGCCATTTGTGTTTGAACAAAAAAGGCGGTGGGTAGATAGTTGGGTATGCATATGTGTGTATGGGGGAAATGGTATCAGTGTTATTATGGGGTGGGAGGGAATGGAGAGGAGAAATGGGGATAGGATGGGAAAGCGACCAGTCTTTCATTGCACACTTTGTGCAGTTTGAGTCTTATGAAGACGACATGGGGTTTTAGTACCACTAGCACAGGAGAGAGTGTTTGTTCCTAACCTGCATAATCCAGCACTTGATTGAGCCTTCTCCAATTCTCTGGCTTCCCCAGGGGAGGCGGGCTGTGCTCTAGAGCTGGCTGCCATCCACTCATGAGAACAGGGGCCTACCTGGGGTTTTTAGAACAACCCTAAAGCACCTGATAAGCCTTCACTCCTCCTGGAAGTATTAGAAATCCATTTTCTAAAAATTGATTTCTAAAGAGTTTAATAGACTTCTTCCCTTAAGCCAACAATACTTTATTTTTGTTTTTAATTTATTTATTTTTAGAGAGAGGGGAAGGCAGGGAGAAAGATGGAGAGAAACATGAATGTGTGGTTGCCTCTCATGCACCCCCAACTGGGGACCAGGCCCACAACCCAGGCATGTGCCCTGATTGGGAACTGAACCAGTGAGCCACACCAGCCAGGGTGCCAACAATACTTTTTTTTTTTTATTTGTTTTTTGGTCATACGGGTAAAGTGCTGATGTCATAGCCAGGTTTGTGGGAGGCACATGTCATGCAAAAGTGGGAACACCCAATCGTCACACTTATGAACTACAGAAGGATCGGCACCAGCAATACTTTAAACAGAACATTAGCCCTGCTTATTTTTACGAGAGAGGGGTAGTGAGGTGACTTCATTTGTGATAGACATTCTAAAGTTGCAATAAAAGCTAAAACTTCAATGGCAATTGAATTTTCAGATGTATTCAACTGAGACAGTGACTGGCTCTTGGGGACAGGAAGAGTGACATCCCTGTGTTACCTATTTAATAAGCAGATCCTGTCAGACCCAGAATGAAACTCATGGCCTTGTGTTGCTAGAGTGTCATTAGGTTTGAACATTTTGGAAAGAAATTTGAAAACAAGATGTAAAATATTTGTGCTCTTTATTCTGGTGATTTCTCTTTTAGAAATTTATCCTATTAGGAAAGAATCCTAAATATAGAAAAAAGTTTAAACTATGTTTTAATTACAAACACCAAAAAACAGAATGCTGATAAAGATGTAAACAGAGAAGTGTTTCTAATAAAGTTTTCAATTCAAGATGTAAGGTCACGTGATTACCAGTGAAATAAACTACGTAAAGAGAGAAAAGTGGAAATAAGTGTAAAGTTAGAATGTCGAGGCCTTGTGCTCTGTGTTCTCTTTATTGCAGACGCTGTGGTTTCTCAGGCACGTGTGGATGGGGTGGCGGGTCAGTCGGTCACGCTGCCCTGCACCTACTCCACAGCTCGTGGGACCAACTCCATGTGCTGGGGCCGGGGGGCGTGTCCTCTTACTCGGTGCCCGAATGAGCTCATCTGGACGGATGGCCACCGCATCACCTTTCAGAAGAGCAGGCGTTATAACCTGAAGGGAATGATTTCGCAAGGCAACGTGTCCTTAACCATCGAGGACGCAGCCCAGTCTGACAGTGGCACGTACTGTTGCCGGGTTGAGTACTCGGGGTGGTTTAATGATTTGAAAGTCAACATATTATTGGATGTAAAGCCAGGTGAGCTTGTCTGCCTCTTCCTTTGATCACTTCACGTGGGTGAACTGAGGTGTTTACTGTGTGGTAGTCATTTTCTCTTCCTTTACTAAAGAAAGAGGAGGTTCCTACAATCCTATGTTTTAATAACTCCCGGGAAACAGGATTGCTTAGTTATGTAGAACGAAGTGTTAAAAACAACTTTGATTCAAGAACATTGGTTAGAGGATCTTCCTGGTAAGTAAACAGTCTCTTAAAGCGGTGCTTCCAAAATGTCAGTTACTTCATGAAAAAGCATTTGCTGCTCCACTGTGAGATATACTGAACGTGTTTTTCAAGCTGAATTTGCTCAGTTTAAAGACATCTATTTTTTTTTCTCTGAATTTATATTTTAGAGAAAGAATGAAATGTCTTCTCAGTATTCTAAAATTATTATGGAAAATTTCAAATGTATAAATAAGCAATATTTTACATAATACTACCAAGGAGATCTATCACCTAGTTTTCATATATGTATCAACTCAGTTGTGTTGCATATATGTTGTTTAAACGTATATAGTTTAGTCCTTACCTCTGCCCTACGTTGGATTTCATGAAGCATAATTCATATCATATCACAACATCGATTGTTTAAAAATTAAAATGAGTTCATTGCACTCTAAAAACATTTGCATCCCAGTAACTGTTCACCAGTTGCTTTTAAGATTTTCCTGAAATGCAACAATCTGCAGGTTTACATTTCTTCTCTCTTGAGGTGGGCACCTTATAAGCCTTCTTAAGGCTTTTTTTTTTTTCTAATTTCCTTGTAGTAAAGTCTTATGTTGACAGTAGAATACAGTATTTGTGACCTTAGTAAGCTGTATCTCTATTTCTTTTTTATGAAACTGAGAAAACTTTATTTGCATAGTCCTGATTTTTGGACTAGGCTATTTTTCTTAAAACGGCAAGTAAGAGAAGGTCAGCTCCACGGAAAAACAGCTGACCCTGGGGGGAACGTAGCTGGACGATGATTCAGGGCATCAGGGAAGCCGAAGAGCTGATGAGGTAGAGCTCTGGGGACAGCTGTGAGGAGGCAGCATGTGGAGAAGAGATCATAATTACAAAATTTTTGGAGTTGTGAAATTGTTTTGACCTGGTTAAATTTTCGAAAATGTCGTGGAAAGGAACTAGTAGGAGGCTTGTACAGTGCTTACCAATTCTTTAATAGGCAGGTATTTACAAGGCCACTGCTCTATCCAGTAGGAAGTAGGTCCATAACTGAGACAAAGTGACTCTCTGGCTCCAATAACCAATTCTGTGCTGAAGTTTCCTTGCATTGTTCACAGGCTCAGCTTTCGGTCTTCAACTTTCCGCTACAGCTTTTCCTCACCTGCATCTATACTTACATCTTCCTTGCTTCCTCCTGGGGAAGATATTTCCCTTGGGTAAAGGCAAGTTCATCACCGAAACTCTGTCTTGGTTTCCTCCACTTTATTTCTTCCTTAGGCTCCTTTGATGAGATTCTTTGCATGCTTGCTTTTCTCTCTAGATTAGATTTTAAACTGGAGGGAAAGGACGGGATTGTACACTTCTTAAGAGCCTCTGCCTACAGCTTAGCTCAGGGTCAGCAAACTAGACAGCCCAGGACCAGATCAGAGTCAGAACAGGCCTGCCGAGTGTTTTACAAGTAAGTTTTCTTGGAACAGCCAGACCCATTCATTATACCATCTGGCCTGTGGCTGCTTTCATGCTGACAGAGTTGAGCAGCTGCCACTGAGCCCATACATAGGACCCCCAAAGCCTAACATAGTTACTGTCCAGCCCTTTCCAGAAAGTTTGCTGACCTCTGCTTTAGACTCATGTCTTGCATGTAGTAGAAACTCACAAATGTATGTGGGAAAACAAGTTTTTCCTCTTTAAGGCACAGATTGGCTTAACTCCCAATTAAACTGATTCTCTAAAAAGAAGAGCATTCAAACCAATTGTCTGCTCTCCAGGGGTGTCTTTTATAGTTAGTAGAGCTGAGTTTTAAAGAATCTTGTAAAAAAACAGTACCTATTGAGAGAAATGTATATATTCTTTCTTTAAATTAATTGAGGGAGTGTGAGAAGGAAAGACTGAGAGAGAGGTTAATTAGTTGTTTCACTTATTTATACATTCATTGATTGCTTCTTATATGTGCCCTAACTGGGGTTTGAACCTATAACCTTGGTGCATCAGGACAGTACTCCACCAACTGAGCAACGTGGCCAGGCCTTCCTTGATCTACATTGGTGCCAGGCACTGTGTTTAGGCTTCTATCTAGTTTCAGCTCTCTGCCTGGGTAGCTCTGAAACCTTCCTGAAGTGGTTTTGAATCCCACACCCCTCTGACCCTATGGTCCAGTCCACCTTCTAGTAGAATGTATAAATCATCTGTGTGACTTAACATAGGCTGGTGAGTGTGAGCTAACCCTCATTTAGGGGGCAGGTCTCTTGGGAGGGTATCCTCAAGACTAACTAAGTTTAGTGCTATTCATTCATTCATTCATTCATTCATTTTTAACTTCCTGGGCCTAGTAACTACTTTTTAAGTTAGTCATTCACCACTGAAAAGACAGTGACAGTCCAGGTTCTAGACATTTTCCTCACCTCACTGATCTGTACAAAGATGCATAAATCTGACTGGCAAGGCTGGTCTTTTCAAAGTGCTTCGGTGTTCATCCTGGGGATCCTTTTCTACCTCTGAACTTCCTGTAATATGTACTTTTCAATATAGCTGTGTTTTTTGTTCATTCGTTTGGCTTTTCTTCAAGGCCTCCTCTGCAAGAGTTTCCTTGACCAAGACTGGAACTCTGAGTCCAGGGGGGATTAGTGCCCATTTCTGCCTGGGGACAGACAGTCTCTGTGGGTTGTGTGTGTGTCTAGGCCCAACACGAGGCTCTGTGCCCTGCTGCTTGATTAATCCTTGTTTTCACGTTTGTTTCTAGCTCCACCTAACGCCACCAGTGCTCCGACATCACCTAGGGTCTCCACCTCCACTCCTACAACTGCAGCTCGCACGCAGAACCACAAGACAGGTAAAGCAATGTGTGTCTGAGGATGGAGACCATCCATGGCATTGTGTTAGGTCAGATGTACAATCCAGGTTAAGAGTTCTTAGGGAGCTCCAAATGAGGGTATCACAGGGTCTGTGGACCCTGGTCCAATACCACATGCAGCTTTTGTAACTTCAAGTACTTGCAGAATGAGGAGACCCATTTGTTTTTATAGTGAGATTCATTATTAGCCAAACACCCCCAGAATACTGATCTTTGATATCTAATAAGGATGGTACGGATTTTCCACAATGAGCACAGGTTTCATTAAGAAGCAAATATAGGAAATGCCAGAGGAAAATGGTCATGTCAATGGGATTCTGTTCTCCCAAGGAGTTCTGAATAAAGATCCTTTCCTTTAGTCCACTCCATAGAATAAGACTGTAGCAAGGTTAATATTTACTCTGTCTCTTATGTCAGGAGACATTATCACTTAGTTCTTATGACAACCCTATGCATTGTAGGTGTGATTCAAATCTATTTTATAAGATACTGTCAAGTAGGCACAACACCAGCTGTCCATTCAATCTTGTTGCATATGCCTTGTGTAAGCCCTAAAAAAGACAAGTTCATTAGACGATCTAATGAATCTTTAGACGATCTAAAGACGATCATTAGACGTTAGTTTTTCTCCTCTTTATTTTTCCTGTGTTTCTTTAAATAGGTTTTTTGCATGCTTGCTTTTCCCTTCCTGTTAGATTTAAAACTAAAGAAAGGAGATTGGATTGTGTCTTCCTAAAAGCCCCTAACTACATCTTAGATCAGGGTCAGTTAACAATAGCCCCAGGGCCAGATCAGATTCAAAGTAGGCCCACTCCCTGTTTTATAAATAAAGCTTTATTGGGACAGTCATACCCATGTATACTGTCTTTTGTATGGCAACTTTCACACTGACAGAGTTGAGCAACTGCCACTGAGACCGCCCAGCCTAAACATTTACTGTCTGGCCCTTTACATCGAGTTTGTTGACCTCGGCTTTACATTGATTGCCTGCATGCTGTAGACACAAATATTTGTTGAAAGACAGTTTTTTTCTTCAAGGAAACAAGTGGCTGAATTCCAAATTAAACTAGATCTCTCAAAACAAGAATTTTCAACTCAGTAGTCTCCTATACAAGGGTTATTTTTTATACTCAATAGAGTTTAGATTTAGGAAAGCTTCTTGTAGAAAATAAAAAAGGTGCATAGTGAGAAAAAGTTATCCATTCTTGAACCAGGCCTTCATTGATAGGCTGCTGAGCCAGGCTTTGTGATTGGGGCTAATTTTAGTTTCAGCTCTCTCTGGGTGGCTCTGCGACCTTCGGCAACTGACTTGCAAATCCTACACCTCCTCTGACCCTGTAAAAAGTCAAAGACATTACCTGTGGTCTACTCCCCTTCTGTCCAAATCAATGTTGTTATCAATCCTTCCTGTGATCTAGCTAGTGCCTGTGAGTTAATCCTCTTTTAGAGGACAGCTTCCTCAAGAGGGTACCCTCAGGACTGACTCAATTTAATGCTACTTATGTGTTAAACACTTTGGGTCTGGGAGCTATTATTTAAGTAAGTCTTAGTCATTCACCACTGAAGAAACTAAGACACATCCAGATTTGAGACATCTTCTGTACCTCACAGATGTTTATGAAAACACTTAAATCAGATAGGTATGGATAATGTTTTGAAAGTGTTTCCACGTTAATTCTGGGTAAACTTTGTCACCTCTGCACCTCCTAGATTATATACTTTTCAATGCGGCTGTTTTCTTTTTGTGGGCTTGTCCCCATGTCCTCCCCTGTCGGATTGTAGTAGAACCAGGCAGGAACTCTGAATTCAAGGGACACTAGTGCCCAATCTGCCTGGGGACTGTCTCTCACTGGTTATGTTGAAGGCCAGGCCCAGCACAAAGCTCTTATCTCCTGCTGTTTGGTGAATCCTTGCTTTCCTGTTGGTTTCTAGATCCACCCAAAGTCACCAGTGTTGGAACACCAACTTGGCTCTCTCCCTCTGCTCCTACAACTCCAGCACCAACACCGAAACTTCCCACAGGTAAACTGATGTGTCTCTGAGGCCAGAGGCCTTCTCAGGAGAGGATGGAGACCACTCAGGGCATGTGTTAAGCCAGAAGTATGATCCAAAGTACAAATTCTTCCCTGAGTTCCAATCACGGGCTTCCCAGGATATGTGCACCCTCATCTCTTATTATGTGCAGGCTTTGCGCCTGCAAGTGTTTTCAGAGCTAGGGGGCCATTGTTTTTAAGATCAAATTCTTAAAGTTATTTATGTTTAGGCAATCAACTGCCAAAATCTTTGATGTCTAATGAGGACAGTATGAATTTGGCCCCATGGAGCACAAGTTTATGAGGAAAATATAGGGAAAGGCAAAGAGAAGGGTTAGCTTAATGAGGCAGTGACCTCACACAGGGCTCTGAGTGGAGATCCCACAGTTCTCCATGAAGCCGGACCCTCCACTGAAGGGTAAGATTTCAGTGAAGTTAACAGTTAGTCAGTCCTCTCTGTGCCAGGAAACGTTACAAGGTTTTTCACAAGTATTATATCACTTAATTCTTATGACAATTCTACACACTGTACATGTGATTCGTTCCTATTTTATTGTGGGTACTGACGGGTAGATACATCGCCAGCACTAACAATGGTCAACTCTTTGATGACAGTCCCTTCCATTGCCTTGAGGGCTAGCACTAGAATTTTAGGTCATTATAAATTAAAATTTGATTTTCTTCACTCAGAGCATTTAGAATAATAGGATTATCTGTTTATTCTTAGAAAATTGAGGAATCAAACGTTTAAGGCAAAAACTTATCAACTCAGTTTTGTTTCAGATACACTGTGTGAGCCTGTGTAGTTCTACCCACACACTTTGCCCTATTTTGAATTTCTTGGAAGCGAGTCTCACATCATCACAGCATTGCTTATTTGTACAGAACAATGACCCTATTGCAATTGAAAACACTTGCATCCCAGTAACTGTTCACCAGTTGCTTTAAGATTTCATGAAATCCAGAAACTGAGAAGTTTACAGTTCTTCAGTGTGGATGTGGACATGCTAAGCCTTATTCGATGAAAGAAGTAGGTGTTTGACGATTTCCTGCTTTCTAGCACTCCTTAATAAGTCTGTCCACTGAAACTTTATATTGGCAGCAGAATACAAGGTCTGTGGCCTGAATAACCTGTATCTCTCTCTCTTTTTAATTAAGATAAACTTTATTTTGTAAATTCAAATTTTTAGACTAGGCTTCTTTCCCTTAAGGGAAGTAAGATAAAGTCAATTGAGATGGAGAAAACAGCTGACTCTGGGGAAACTGTATCTGGGGGTTGATTCAGGGAAGCCGAGGCATCTGATGAGATAGTGGGCTGGAGACAGATGTGAGGAGGCAGCACGTGGAGAAGAGATGAGACTGCAAAATTTTGGAGTTGTGACATTATTTTGATCTGGCTGAATATAACATAGAAAGGAATTAATAGGAGACTTTTACAGTACCCACCCTAGTATTTTTTTACTTTTTTAAAAAAATATTTTAATTTAGTTTTAGAAAGAGGGAAGGGAAGGAAAAAGAGAGGGAGAAAAACATTGATGTGAGAGTGAAACATTGATCAGTTGCCCTGATTGGGAATCGAACCTTCGCTCAACCAATTGAGCCACAACCAGTCAGGGCACGCCCATCAATTTTTTAATAGGCAGGTATTTACAAGGCCACTGCTCTATCCAGTAGGAAGTAGGTCCATAACTGAGACAAAGTGACTCTCTAGCTCCAATAACCAATTCTGTGCTGAAGTTTCCTTGCATTGTTCACAGGCTCAGCTTTTGGTTTTCAACTTTCTGTTACAGCTTTTCCTCACCTGCATCTATACTTACATCTTCCTTGCTTCCTCCTGGGGAAGATATTTCCCTTGGGTAAAGGCAAGTTCATCACCGAAACTCTGTCTTGGTTTCCTCCACTTTTATTTCTTCCTTAGGCTCCTTTGATGAGATTCTTTGCATGTTTGCTTTTTCCCTCTAGATTAGATTTTAAACTGGAGGGAAAGGACTGGATTGTACACTTCTTAAGAGCCTCTGACTGCAGCTTAGCTCAGGGTCAGCAAACTAGACAGCCCAGGACCAGATCAGAGTCAGAACAGGCCTGCCGAGTGTTTTACAAGTAAGTTTTCTTGGAACAGCCAGACCCATTCATTATACCATCTGGCCTGTGGCTGCTTTCATGCTGACAGAGTTGAGCAGCTGCCACTGAGCCCATACATAGGGCCCCCAAAGCCTAACACAGTTACTGTCCAGCCCTTTCCAGAAAGTTTGCTGACCTCTGCTTTAGACTCCTGTCTTGCATGTAGTAGAAACTCACAAATGTGGAAAACAAGTTTTTCCTCTTTAAGGCACGGATTGGCTTAACTCCCAATTAAACTGATTCTATAAAAAGAAGAGCATTCAAACCAATTGTTCTCCAAGGGTTTCTTTTATAGTTAATAGAGTTGAGTTTTAAGGACGTTTCTGGTAAAAACAAATGAAAACAGGTGCCTGGTGAGAAAAATGTACACATTGTTGATTCTGGCCTTCATTGATCTGCATTTGTGCCGGACACTGGGTTTGGCTTAATTTTAGTTCCAGCATTCTCTCTGGGCAGCTTAGAGACCTTCTGTAAGTGGTTTTGAGTCCTACACCGCTCTGACTCTGGAAAAAATCCAAGTTGTTTCCTGTGGTCTAGTTTGCCTTCTAACCAAGTGTATAAATTGTCTGTGTGATCTAGCATATGCCGGTGAGTTAATCCTCATTTAGGGTGTAGGCCCCTTGGGATGGACTGATCTGAAGGCTATTTATTTGGTAAGCATCCTCGGCCTGGGAAGTACTGTCGACGTCTTAGTCCTTCCCTGCTGAGCAGACTAGGACAGGTTCAGTCTCCAGACATGTTTCCTTCTCACACATGTTGATAAGGAGATATAATATATGTATACTGTATTTTTCAGACCATAAGACTCACCTAGGTTTTAGGGGAGGAAAATAGGGAAAAAATTTGAAGCAAAAAATGTGGTGAAATATTTAATAATGCAAATAACATAATATTTCACCAATGTAAATGTAAACAGAACTCAACAGCAGCATTAACAACCATTATTTCTCCCAAATTTAGGGGGTGCTGCATCTTATAGTCCAAAAAACACAGTATATATCTAATAGGCATGGCTGGATTTTCCAGGTGCTTCAGGGTAAATCCCAGGTATCCTTTTTCAACTCTGAACTTCCTAGAATATATGCCTTTTAATACAGCTATGTGTTGTTGTTGGTGTTGTTGTTTTTCTCTTTCAAGCCCTCCCCTGTCAGATTTTTGTGGAACCAAGACAGGAACTCTCATTTCGGGGGAGATTAGTGCTTGATTCTTCCTGGGATCAGAATGCCTCTCATTGCTTACCTTGAAGTCCAGGCCCAGCAAGCAGAGAGCTCTTGTCTCCTGCCGCTCCGATTAATCCTTGCTTTCCTGTTGGTTGCCAGCTCCACCTAAGGCCACCAGTGTTGGAACACCACCTCAGGTCTCTCCCTCTGCCCCTACAGCTCCAGCACCAACACTGAAATGTAACACAGGTAAACTGATGTATTCCCGAGGCCAGGCGCCTCCTAATAGGGCACGGAGATTGCCCAAGGCACTGTGCTCAGACAGAAGTCAGATTCAGGGTAAGGTTTTTTTAGAAGGTTTTCAAGAGAGAATTTCACCATGACTCTGAGAACCCCCATCCCATATTACATGCACCTTTTGTATAAATTTAATCAGAATGAGGAAACCCATTCGTTTTTCCGTCAGACTCTCAAAGGGGTACGTGATTAGCCCAAACACTCCATCTTTGGCATACCGTGAAGATGGTGTTAGCTTTGGCCCTGTTGAGCACAGGTTTCTGAGCAAAACATAGGGTTATGCCAAAGAAGAAGGATCGTGTTAATAAGATTCAGGCCTCACAAGCAGCTTTAGTCCACTCTGAAGATGGACCCTACCCTTGAGGATTAGATTTCAGTGAATTTAATGTGTATTCTGTCTCTTTCATCAGGACCCATGCCAAGTCCTGTGGAAGTATTACATTACTTGATTTCTCACACCGACCCTACTTACCCTAGGTGTGATTCAATGCTATTTTTTAGTGGTGGGGACTGTCAAGTGGAAACATTGCCAGTTTTAACAATGGTCCATTCAACCTTTTTGCATATACTTTGTGTGAGCATGTGTAGTAGTTCCACCTCTACCCTTTGCCCTGCCTTCGAATTTTAAAGCAGATCTCATAGTATAACGTTGTTTGCTTGAAAATTAAAATGACCATATTGCAATTTGAAACTATGGGCATCCCAATAACTTCACCCACTGATTTAAGGAATTTCAAGAAATCCAAATATCTGGGAAGTTTACATTTTTTTCCATTTTGAGGGGGACATATACAAATAGCCTTATCATTTGATGAAAAATGTAGGTGGTACTTGGGGGTTTCCTGGGTGATGCTCTCCTTAATAAATCTCCATCCACTAAGGTCTTATGTTGACAATAGAACCCAATACCTGTTGTCTTAATAGCCCACGTCTACTTTTCTTTTACTTAAGAGAAACTTTGTTTTATAATCTCCCAAGTTATCAGCTGGGCATGTGTCTTATGAAGGCAAGTAAGATAAGGTCAATTCAGGTGGAGAAAACAGCTGACTGTGGAAACTGTATCTCAGAGGCGATTCAGGGAAGCAAAGAAACTGGTGAGATAGTGGGTTGGAGACAGATGTGAAGAGGCAGCAAGTGAAGAAGAAATGATGATTACAGCATCTCTGGAGCTGTGAGATCACTTTGACCTGGCTGGATTTTTAAAAATAACATGGAAAGGAAGTGGGAGGAGACTTCCAGAGGCGGGTAATTACAAGGCAACTGCTGTCTCCTGTACAAAGTAGGTCCGTAGCTGAGCCAAAGTGACCCACAGCTTCCAAAACTGATTCTTTGCTTAAATTTTCTTGCATTTGCACAGGCTGAGTTTACTCTTCGATGTTCTCTTAAAGCCTCTCCTCAACAGCAACTACCCTAACCTTCCGTGGAAAATACTTACCACTGAGCGACACAAGTCGAATAGACACTCTGACTAGGTGTCCTCCTCTTTATTGTTCCTTATGGTCCTGTGACCAGATTTTATTTTTGTATGCTTGCTTTTTTCTCAAAATTAGATTTGAAACTGGAGAGGAGATAGGATCGTGCCCCTTTCTTAGCCTCCGACCACACCTTACATCTGGGTGAGCAAACTATAGTCCAGAGCCAGATCATATTCAAAACAGTCTCACAAACGGCTTTACAAATAAAATTTTATTGGAACAGTCATTCCTAATCATTATACTATCTGGTCTATGAGCACTTTGGTGCCGACAGAGTTGAGCGACTGCCACTGAGACCATAGGGCCACCAGAACCTAAACCTGTGCTATCCAGCCCTTTACGTCAAGTCTGCTGACACTCACAAATACTTGTTGAAAAACAGTGTTGCCTCTTCAAGGCAAGAATTGGCTTGATTCCAAATTATATTGGATCTCTTAAAGAAAAGGTTTCAAATCAATGGTCTCCTATGCCAAGGTCTCTTTTCTAGTAGTAGAGTTGAAATTCAAGGAAGCTTCTTGCAGGATAAAAAAGTGCCTTGTGAGAAAAAAAAAAGTGCACATTCTTGATCAGACCTCCATTGCTCTGCTTTGGTGCCAGGCAGAGTTCAGACTTAATTCTAGTGACCTCTCTCTCTCTTTCTCTCTCTCTGGGTAGCCCTGAGACCTGTAAATGCTTGGAATCCTAAATCTGCTCTGTCATGGAAAGAGTCAGAGTTATCACCTGTTACCACGTCTTAGTTGGAAAGCAACCATTAATGGCTGAATTCACCTTTCAGCCAGATGTATAATGTATAACAGCTGGTGTGATCCAGCCTATGCTGCTGGGTGTGAGTTAATCCTCATGTAGGGTGCGGGTCCCTCGGGGTGCTCTCCTCCAGACTGACTGACCTCAGCGTTCTTTATTTACTAAAATTCTGAGCCTGGGTGCTACTGTTTAAATCTTACTCACTCACCAGTTAGAGACAAAGACATTTTCCTCACTTCCCGGATGTTTATAAAGATAACATATCTGATAGACATGGCAAATATTCTCAAAGTGCTTCAGTGTTAATCCTGGGTAACCTTTTTCACCTCTGAACCTCCTGAAATATATGCTTTTCAATGCAGCAGATTTCTTTTTATGGGCTTGTCTCCATGCCCTCCCCTGTCAGATTGTGGCCAAACCAGAACAAGAACTCTGACCTCAGGGGACATTAGTGCCTGATCTGCCTGGGGACTGTCTCTCACTGGTTATGTTGAAGGCCAGGCCCAGCACAAAGCTCTTGTCTCCTGCTGTTTGGTGAATCCTTGCTTTCCCGTTGGTTTCTAGATGCACCCAAAGTCACCAGTGTTGGAACACCACCTTGGGTCTCTCCCTCTGCTCCTACAACCCCAGCACCAACACCGAAACTTCACACAGGTAAACTGATGTGTCTCTGAGGCCAGAGGCCTTCTCAGGAGAGGATGGAGACCTCCCAGGCATGTGTTAAATCAGAATTACACTCTAGAGTATGAATTATTCCTGGGGTTACAAGCACAAGCTTTAATGCAATTGTAAAATGTGTTCATTATTAATCAACCAACCACAGATCACTGATCTTTGATACTTAATGAGGACTGAGTGGATTTAACCCAGTTGAGCCCAGGCTTCTGAGGAAAATATAAGGAATGCCAGAGAAGGGTCAGTTCAATGAGAGTCTGAGCTGACAAGTTCAGGATGTCCATCCTTTAGCCCTCTCTGAGTTCAGACCGTGCACGTAAGGATAAAGCTTTAGTGAAGTTAACATTTACTCAGTCTTCTATGTGCCAGAGACTATTCTAATTTACCATTGTTATTTCACCTGGTTCTCATGACACCCCTGTGCACTGTAGATGCAATTCAATCCTATTTCATAGTTGTGGGTACTGACAGATGGATCACCATCTTTGACAATTGTCAACTCAATGTTATTGCATATGCATTGTGTTGACCTGTGTAGTTCTGCCTATACCCCTGCAATACCATGGATTTTTGTAGCATTATCTCATATCAAATCCCAATATTGTTGGTTTAAACATTAACACTTGAATGTTTAAAATATTATTGCAATATGGAAACACTCACAACCCAATAACTATTCACCAATTGGTTTAAGAATTTTGTGAAATCTGTGCCCTGGCTGGAATGGCTCAGTGGATTGAGCCCTGGCCTACTAACTGAAGGGTTGCTGGTTCGATTCCCAGCTAGGGCACATGCCTGTGTTGATGGCCAGGTCTCCAGTTGGTGGTATGCAAGAGGCAACCAATCTATATTTCTCTCTTCTTACAAAGTGCTTCCTTACAAAGATGTTTCTTTCCCTCTTTTTCTCCCTTCCTTCCCCTCTCTCTAAAAATAAATGCAACCTTTTAAAAAGAGGATTTCATGAAATCAAAATCTGGGACATTCATATTTCATCTTGATGTGTACATCCTAATAGCCTTATTACTCAGTTAAAGAAGTAAGTTCTATGCATTTTCTGGTTTCTAATGCTCCTTCTAAATGAATCTCTGACAGTTGTTTTTTTTTTATTGACAGTAGAACCTGATATGGTTGCCTTAATAATCTATGTTCTCTTTTTTTTTTAATTGAGAGAAACTTTATTTTTTAATCTCCCATGCTTGGCCTTGGCTTGTTTCCCCCTGAAGAGAAGTAAGATAAGGTCAATTCAGACGGAGGAAACAGCTGATCTGGGAAAACTATATCTGGAAGGTGATTCAGGGAAGCCAAAGAAGCTGTTGAGATAGTGGGCTAGAGACAGGTGTGAGGTGGCTGAAGTTGGAGAAGAAATTATGGTTTCAACTTTGTGGAGTTGGGAAATTTGTATCTGCTTGCATTTTAAAAAATAACATGGAAAGGAATTAGTAGAAGAATTTTATATTGCCTCCCAATTCTTTTTTTTTAGAGAGAGAGGGGAGGGAGAGAGAAAGAGAGAAACAGTGGTGTCTGAGAGATACATCAATTGGTTTACTCTCACACGTCCCCAGCTGGGGACCCGGCCCACAACCCAGGCACATGCCCTAGCTGGGAATCGAACCAGCAACCCTTCAGTTCACAAGCTGGTGCTCAGTCCACTGAGCCACACCAGCCAGTGTGTCTCTCAATCCTTTAATAGACAAGCCCACTGCTCTATACAGTGGAAAGTGGGTCCATAACTGAGAGAAGTGACTTTCAGCTTCCAATACCCGAGTGTTTGCTCAAGTTTTCTTGCACTTTTTCACAGGCTGCTGTTACTCTTCAAGCTTCCGTTGTGGCTTTTCCTCACCTGCATCTATTTCTGTATCTTCCTAGCTTTTTCCTGGGAAAGATATTTTCCACGGATGAAGTCGATTTCATTACACAATCTGACTAGTTTTTCTCCTTTTTATTGTTTCTTATACTCACTTGATCATATTTTTTGCATGCTTGCTTTTTTCTCTGGAGTAGACTTGGAACTAGAGGGAGGGAGTAAAATTATACCCTTCTTAAAAGACTCTGACTACACCCTAGATCAGTCAACAAATTATATCCCAGAGCCAGATCATATTCAAAACAACCTCACCAACTGTTTTATGAATAAAGATTTATTGGAATGGACATACCCATTCACTAAACCGTCTGGTCTATGACTACTTTTACACCGACAGAGTTGAGCAACTGCTCCTGGGACCACAGGGCCACCAGAGCCTAAACGTGTGCCATAAGGCCATTTACATAGAGCTGGCTGACCTCTGCTCTAGACTAATGCCACACATATATACTAGACATGCACAAATATTTCTGGAAAAAAGTTTTTTCCTCTCAAGGCAAATATTGGCTTGATTCTAAATAAACTGGATCTCAAAGAAGAGCGTTCAGATCAGTGGTCTCCTGTGTCAAGTTGTCTTTCTTTTTTTTATTTTAATCATTGTTCAAGTACACTTTTCTCCCTTTTACTTCCATTCCAGTCCACCCACCCAACCCTCCCCACTTCCCTCCCATTACCACCCTCCCCAAGTTTTCTTTTCTAGTTAGTAGACTTCAGATTGAAGTATCTCGCAGGATAAAAGGTGTCTGGTGAGGAAAAAAAGTACAAATTTTTGTTTTTAATTTTATTTTAATTGTTGTTCAAGAAAACATACAAATTGTGTCAGGCCTTCATTGATCAGCTTTTGTGCCAGGCACTCTGTTTGGACTTAATTCTAGTTTCAGCTCTTTCCCTGGGTAGCTCTGAGACCTTTGGTTAAGTGCTTTGGAATCCTGAATCTGCTCTGTCATGGAAAGAGTCACAGTTATTACCTCTTATCATCTTTTAGTTAGAATCATTCACCTTTTAGCCAAATGTATAATCATCTCTGTGATCTGGCATATAAGTGGTGTGAGTTAATCCTCATTTAGGGTGCAGGACCCTTGCGGGGGCATCCTCAGGAAGGACTGAAATGACTGCTGTGTATTTGGCAAACATTCTTTGTCTGGAAACTACTGTTTAAATCTTAGTCACTCACCATAGAGGGGCAAACAGAGGTCCTGGCTGTAGACACTTTCCCCACCTCCCCTGATTACATACAGATATGTAATCTGATATGCACGGTTGGTGTTTCAAAGTGCTTTGGTGCATAACCCGAGTAACCTCTTTCACCTCTGAACCTACTGGAATATGTACATTTCAATGCAGCTGTTTCCTTTTTGGGGGCTTGTCCTCACGCCCTCCCCTGTCAGATGGTAGTAGAGCCAGGACGGGAACTCCGAGTTCAGGAGAGGTCAGTGCCCAGTTTTGTCTGGGGACTGTGTCTCATTGGTTACTTTGACGTACAGGCCCAGCACAAAGCTGTTCTTCGTGCTGCTTCATTAATCCTTGCTTTCCTGTTGGCTTCTAGCCCTACCTAAGGCCACCAGTGCTCCGACATCACCTAGGGGCTCCACCTCTGCTCCTACAACTCCAGCACCAACTCCGAAACTTAACACAGGTAAACTGATGTGTCTCTGAGACCAGAGGCCTTCAAATGAGAAGATGTAGACCGCCCAGGGCATGTGCTAAGTCAGAGTTACAATCTGTGCTAAAGGTTCTTTCCTTGGGTTCCATGTGGCCTCGTGTATTTTGTGAAACCTTGTCCCGCATTACACGCATCTACTGTACCTACATGTATCTTCAGAGTCAGAGGACCCATTGTTTTTTAAATCAGGTTCTCGGAGGGATTCATCATTAGCTAAATGCCCCCAGACCACTGGTATTGGGCCTCTAATGAGCATGACGTGGATTTGGCCCAGACGAGCACAGGTTTACGAGGAAAATCTAGGTAATGCCAGAGAAGAAGGGTCAGGCTAATGAGATGCTGTCTTCACAAGCACATCTGGGTGGAGCCCTCTGGTCCTCTCTGTCCGCAGACCTTCCGCTCAAGGATGACAAGCCCACTGCTGGTTTTATATGAGGGTTTTCCTGGAACAGCCATATCCAATCACTACACTGTCCGGTCTGTGGCTGCTTTCACAGAAGTCAGAGTTGAACAAGAGCCACTGAGACCGTGGACCCTCAAACCCTAACATTTATTGTCTGGCCCGTTACATACGGTTCGCTGATACTTGCTTTACACTAATGCCTTGCATGTAATGGGCACTCACAGATATTTGTTGAAGAAAGTTTTTTCCCTCTCAAGGCAAACATTGATTTGATTCCAGATGATACTGGATCTCTCAAAAGAAGAGCTTTCGAATCAGTGCGCCCCTGTACCAGTGTTCTCTTTTATAGTTAGGTGGCTTAAATATAAGGAAGCTTCTTGTAAGGAAAAAATGGTGCCTGGGGAGAAAAAAGTATACATTGTTGTTTTTTTTTAATTATTTTTTAATTTTTCTAATGCATTTTCCCCACCTCACCAATGTGTATGAAGATATATAAATCTGATACCCATGGCTATTCTTTTCAAAGTGTTTCAGTGCTAAACCTGGGGAACACTTTTTTTATTCTGCACATCCTGAAATATATACTTTTCAATGCAGTTATTTCCTTTTTATGCGCACGTTCTCAATTCTAGTGGACCAAGGATTAAGAACGCTAAATTCAGAGAGATTAGTGCCTCAGGGAGATTAATGCCCAGTTCTGCTCGGGGTCAGTCTCATGGGTCTAGTTGAGGTACAGGCGCAGCACAAGGCTCTTAGTTTCCTGCTGCTTGATTAATCCTTGCTTTCACGTACATTTCTAGCTCCACCTAAGGCCACCAACGTCCCAACATCACCTAGTGTCTCTACCTCTGCTGCTTTGGCACCAGCCCACACACAGGACATTCTGAGAGGTAAAGTGATATATTTCTGAGCTCAGAGGCCTTCTAATGAAAGGAGGTTGACCACCCAGGGTATTATCTTAGGCAGAAGTACAGTCCAGGGTTAATACTCTTCCCCTGGGTTCCATTCGTGAGTTTCACAGATCCTGACAGTCTCCATCCCAGATTACATGTACCTTTTGTACCTATAAGTATCTTCAGGGTAAAGAGACCCATCATTTTTAAAAATTAGATTTTCAAGGGCAGTCATTATTAACCAAAAAAAGAGAAAAATCTCCAGGCCACTTATCTTTGATATCTAATGAGGAGCATGGATTTGGCTCAGGGGAGCATAGGCTTATGAGGAAAATTCAGGGACTGCCAGAAGACAGGGGGCAGGATAATGAGCTCGGTCCCCACAGGGAGCTCTGAGTGGAGATCCTGTAGTCCACTCTGACCTTGGAGTCTCATCTGGAGGAGCAAATTTCATTGAGGTCATAATCGCCTCTCTCTCCTGTACCACAAGATTCACACTAAGTTCTCTTTCTTTTTTCACTTTATAATTTTTTATTTTTTTTCCAAGTGTTATATTACTAAATTCTTAGGACAACCCCATTCATTGTGGGTGTGGTTCAATCCTATTTTATAGTTGTTGGATCCTGGGCACAAGGTCTAAGTTCATTGTTTAAAGGCATGTGGATAGCAAGTGGTTGAGTCAGGATTCTGTCTCCTTAATTTGAATTTGGGGCCATAGTTATAACTACTGAGTCATGCCTTCTAACACGAGCACTGACTGAGGTTATATTAGGATGAATTTGCCCTGATCTGACACCCTTGCTGAAAAAGCCTTTATATAATTTACCCATTTTTTGTTTTTTTGTTTTTTTTTTCATGTCAGGCAGGGACTTACACAGTTTTGCTTCAAGCATTCTTTACTATTATGTAGCATAGAAATAGAAAAAAATGATATTTGTACAATGACATGAGATTTAAGGATTTCAGGGATTTGGAATGTATTGCTCTTTTTTCAATTTAGGCTACATGGTTCACACTTAAAATTTCTGACAGTTGAGAGTTCAGGCGTAAAACAAATGGTGATAACTCAGCTGATGAGTAGGGAAATAGCTTGATCTCCTGAGGACCAGTTTAGTTTCAAACCTTCTATTTGTAGGATTAGAAAGGTAACGTTCAGTGAAGAGTCTCAAAACCTTCATACTCTCTGACTCCTTGAGGTGGTCTAGATTCTGAGGAATAATAGAGCAGTCACAATCTCTTAGCTGGAAATTTCTGATGGGACATATTGATTTTCCTTGACTCCCACTGAACCATGTGTATGTTTACCAGGAAGGACCCTGAAGCATTGGGCTATGAGCTCACTTTGGAAGGAGAGGGCTTTAGGGTAAAACTGGGATTTTAGAGTCATAAAAGTTTGTGGAAAACAGCTTTGTACATACTAAGGCAACTGAACATACTAGAGAATCTGTTGACTTTCTCAATATTGATTTGACTTCTTTGTACTTAGTTTGACTTAGTGTATGCCTGCAAAAGTGTGAGGATTAGTGGACAAGGTTTAGTGAACATACATGAGTTTTTTACTTCATTTAAAGCAAACAAAAGAAAAAAAATATGCATGACCTCCTGGGGAATAAAATTGCATTGTTAACTGAATTGAGCCTTATCCTTATCCTGAGAGTTTCGTAAGGAGTTGGAGTTTAGAGGTGACCTTTACAGTACAGGAAGGAGGCGAACACTGGAGCTAATTCAATGTGGAGACATTTTCCTTTATGCCCATCCCCTGCCTTCCTCAGTGCCTCTACACATGCTGGTCTCCTGAGATACTCAGGGGATGGTGGGGTGCAAGGTTAGAGGAGCAGGTGAGAAAGAAAGAGGCCCACAAAGAACCAAACTGGTTCTGATGAAGTTAAGGTCCAGAAGTCTTGTGCACGGATCTAGGGTGGGTAGGCTCTGATCATCTTACTTTCTTGTGCTGTCCTGTTCTTTGTCCTGAAGAGAGCCACATCCTGATGTCGGGTTCAGTATTGGAGGAAAACATGAAATGGGTTCAGAACATAAGGAAGGGTGATGGTGAAACGTGAAGATGATGGTGGCAAAGGGGAAATGGAGAGACCAGTGAGAGGCAGTAGGAAAGCCCAGGTGTGAGAATCCTTGCCTGGCCAGCACCGCTCGTTTGCTCTGGAATCTGTGGTGCTCTCGGGGACAGGAACACAAGGGCCTGATAAAGAGGCAAGTGATGCGTAGCTGAGTGTTGGAGAATCTAGGGGAGCATTTTGGTGGGAGATGGAAGATGAGCCAGAGAACAGGAAATTAGTCTTACAAAAGTAGTGACTGGAATGCTACTGAAGAAGGAACTGGGGCCAAGGTCCTTATTTGGAATCAACTTTGCTTTGAGGGTTGTGAATGATTATCAGGTTGAGACTTTGGGCAGTACAGTCAGCTTGAGGAGACTTCCAGAAATTAGGTGCTGTGAGTGTGTGTCCTGTGCTGGTCCTTATGTGCATCTCCCTGGAAAGAGGTGTGGTTGGGTAAGTGGGAACCTCAGTAAAGTCAAAAACCCAGATTGGGCTTTGTGTGAAGAGGGGAGGACAGATCAGTGCAAACTGCCAGGCCCTGTTCCATGAAGGTGGAATGTCGTTTGTGTGAATAAAGCTGAACTGGGTCTCCTGCATGAGATGCGCGGTTGTGGGCATTATGCACTCGGGGGATCCTGGAAGTGTGGAAAGTGTGAGAGGTTTTTGTGTATGGCCAACAATCTAGAGCACTGTCAATATCAGATTTGTTACTACTAATAAAAAACAGAGATGGCAGTACAATGCCTCAATGTTATCTTTAATAAATTTTTAGGAAGGAGTCGAAGGTACTTCCTGATTTTCGTTTTGTTGGAGGTGGTTGGGAATTATTCTCCACAAATAGAACAGAGCCCTTTCATCTTTTCTGTTTCAGAAACCACGTCATCTTCGCCAATGCAGACAACAGGCACCCAGCCTATCACAACACAGGAAGCAAATAGGACCAGCTCACCATCGGACCCTTGCCCAACAGGTGACCTCATTTTCTTCCCTGAAGACCTAGAGCATTCAAATTTGACGATCACTGACGTATTGTTAAGAGCACGTGCTCTGACATGAATGCCGACACTGGCCCCTCCAATCAGCTGTGGGACTTGAACAAATGTCTCATCCTTTCTGAACCTGTTTTCTTCATTTGCATAATGAACAGAACATCACTGACCATATAGAGCCCTTGTGAGGATTAAATGAGAAGGACAGCTTGGGGCATAGTTAAAATAGCCACTGTGATTATTACTTTGATGTCCAGGCACACAAACCTGACTAGCATAGGGAACTTGCATGATTTGGGAACGTGTACATGCATCTCTCTATTTTTCTAAATCACATGAACTGGTCTTGAGTACATCCACATGTATTTATTACTGGGTTTGCTACCTTGGGCCAGAGTTGTAAAATAGTGAACTCCAGACCAAACTGTCCACCTGTGGTGACCTTTTGCCTGAGCTCCAGAGCCTCAGTACATGTAGGAGGCAGTCCTACTGCCTCGTGAGGCCTGCAGGTGGACCTAGAGAAGTCCTTGAGAGGGTTCGAGGCCACCAGCACTGGCACCAAAGAGAGAGGCCTGCCCCACAGAGAATCTGCTATTGCCTTTCCAAAGGCCTCCCCCAGTCTCCCCTTTCTGGGCTGGTCCCATGTACTCTCTCCTCTTCTGCAGTGGAAGACTGACCTGTCTTTCCCAGAGTGGAGAAAGGTGATCCTGAAGCTGGTCATCTTTCCCAGCTAACTCTGTGACCCAGAGTGGTGAGCGTGGGGAATGCCATGTGCTAAAGCCCTTGGGAATGCAGAGCTGGCCGTGTGCCCTGTGCTTGTCCTGTATCCAAACAGGGGCCAACCTTGCAAACTCCTCCTGTGCATGACTCACTGCACTCAGGAGCTGCCAATCTGTAGGGCCCCCTATGGCCCACCTCTTGCCAATCATTCCTGGAAGATGGTTCATTGAAAATGGGCCTGCAGTGAGAGTCACAGAGGGACCCATTCCATTGGAATGAGAGGATGGTGACATTTGTTTTTAAATGCTGAACCCTCATATGGGAAGTGTTTCCAGACACATAAGCACAGTGGGAGTAGATAAGAACACAAGGGCACAGCAGTAGGGGCGGCTGCACCCGCACTCTCAGGGGTGTGAGGGGAAGAAGGCAGCAGTGGGGAATGATTCTGTAAATACCGTGTCACCCTAACCTGGGGAAGGCAGATCTTCCCATGGTGGAACAGACGTTGGCGCAGCTGTGTCTCCATCTTGGCGGGTGTCTGAGGCTCCAGAGCCAACCCCTCACTGTGCCCAAGTCGGGCTTCCGGGGGCTGCAGCTTCACTGAAGCAAAGCATGTTAATTAAGTCTGGAAGGGATTTGGGTTGTCATAAGGCCCACCACCCACCCTGGCCAGTTGTCTGTGCCAGGACACTTCATACTTTCTCATTTAATTTTTTCAATGTAGGCCTTAGTAGTTGCTGTTGTCAGACTGGGGAGGCCCTGGGGCTGTGTTTTGGAGTCAGCTCCCAATTCCACTGGGGGGACTAGCTGCGTGCCCGGGGGCAAGTGGTTGCACCCCTCACTGGAGGCTTATGCCAACCGAAGGCTAGAGGTTTGGAAATTCATGGCACCGTGTGTATTACCTATGTATAAGTAGTGTTCTTAACCTGCTTCCCAGAAGGGGTTCTGTATTCCTAAAAATTGTAGATAAAACTTTTTATGTGATGCATTTTTTTCCATAAAAAAAAAAAGAAAAAAGGAGTCCATTTTTACAGGGTCCATGACAAAAATGTTAAGAAACACAACCTTACAGGATAAATTCATAAACACTAGTAACTTGGTATAATTCCTGCAGTGCCTGTTGCATTTGGGCCTATTATTATTCATCTTTTCATTCGTCATCAGAAAGCAATGTGAATATATTTGGTGTTTGTAGCGAAAACTCAGTATTTTTTCTCACTCTAAATAATTGTCTCTTTGTCCAGCAGACGGGAACAGCACTGTGATGCGGCCTTCAGAGGGGGCTTGGCCAGACGGTGGAAACGTAAGCAAATCCCCCGTGTTATTCACCGTCCCTCGTGTGTCTCTCCGGAAGCACGTTGTAAGGCTCGCCCCCAGGCTGATTCTTTGTAGTGAAGAGACAAAGAAGAAAACAATTTGTTTCTTAAATAAGGATGATTTCATTAATTTGTGAAGTTCATACAGATATCGGTAGGCCAGCTTGTTAGAGATGCCCAATAATGATATTTTACTCACACAAACACACGCACAACCCTCACAGACGACAGGCTTCCTCCTGGCCAAAAATTGGACAAAAGATAATGAACTAACTTCAGGAGAGTGAGTTAATGCAACCTGCCCAGGAAGACTCCAGGCGCATCAGAGGGGTAACGTGCTTGCAGTCTCCGCGGTGGTATTGGAGGCTGTTCCAACCCGATAGTTTTCTTATGCAGAACATCTGAGGGCTCTGCAGAGTTTTTCTACCCTGGAACCTCCCCATGGGATGACTTATTTAGCCATTAACTGTCAGAAGTGGCAAGAAATGACAACCCACAATAGTAGGAAATCCAAGCTGAGACAAAGTGGGGAGGTTTAGTGTAGGCTCAGATTACTTTATATTGTTAACCTTAGTTACAAAGAGAACACTATGTTAGGAGCGACATGAACTATTTTAGCAATTTATATGGCATGATTGATGTGATGGATATGGGCTTAATGTGTAGACACCCCCTAAATATCAGAACTGCCACCATGGAAATGATTATTACATTGCTATATGGCTGGATTTATGCTGAATGAAAAACACCCTTAGACACACTCATACTCTGAATGGTGAGATTGCTCTTGACCTCAGTTACCTGTAGGACAGGTAGGTTTGTCAGCAAGGAGGAGCAGTTTAGAAGCAAGTTTGTGACAGGCAGTAGCAAAATTGTGGGCTTTTTGTGCCTTGATTCTGAGGCTATCAGGATGTCTCCCTGGTATCTTGAAAACATGTAGCATACAATTCCAACCAGCAGGTCAACCTCCTGGACACTGTGTGAAGAAGGGAATTGAACAAACACATGAAGATGTGTGAGGAAAGGTGTTCATTGCTGCTGTTTATAACCATGAAAATGTTGTAAACAACTGCTATGCTCAACAGGAAGGGGTTAATTAATTAAGTACACCTACGTATTGTCATTAAGCATGTCATCATGACAGTGCATTTTCTGACTTGGGATGACAGTTACAACTTGTTGTTAAGTGGAAAACTAACTTTTAAAATAATATATATACTTTACTACACATTGGATGTAGTAATTATTTATGTTAAGAAAAAAATAGAAACAAAAATTCTAAAAGTATGTAATGAAAAATGGTAGCTGTGGTTGTTTTGGGTAGTTCCTCCCTTCGTGCTTAGCTGCACATTTTAAGAAGGACATGCACTTTTTATGTAATATAATAGTTTTGACATGGAATACAAAGTCTCCTTTGGCAGCCCCATGTCCCGTCTACCACTTAAGTCCCCACAGGTCAGGTGATCCCAACGCAGCTTTTAATCTGTAGTTGACCGACACCAAAACAGAGGCTCAGATCACTGAATAACTTGTAGAGGGTCCCAAAGCAGTTAAAAGAGCCAGGATTCTGACTCCAGAGATTACACTTTTAAGCAGCAAAAGGTTTGACGCTTCTCTCTGACCTTCCACTTCCTTTCTGTTAAAATATCTACCCTGTGGGACCTGTTTAGGGTTGGAGCTAAGCTATATAAAGGAGCCTGGCATCCTTCAGGCTTATTCTAGGAGGGCGATCCTTATGAACGGCACCAGGAGATTTGAACCAAATTCTGCATTTCTACCCCATTGCACAGCATTTTAAGTGAACTATTAATCAGCACCATGTCTGTGAGCAGTTGCTTTGGGGCCCATTATACAGGCATAGATAGAGTCTTGAATTACTTGTATAGTTAAAAAATAAGGATTATATCAATGACCAAATTCATTAGTTAAATATATCCAGATGATACCATATAGCATCACCAACATAGCGTCATGGCCTCGCAAAGTCCACTTATATATGAAGAAATTGTTTTTCTTGTTTAGTATCATAATAGGATATATTTATGGACATAGCTTAGTGATTTTTTTGAAAATGTGGGTAATTTACTTACAATAACACCGTTTGAAGTATACAGTTTGATCTGTGACAAATGCATACACCCCTGTAAGTCCCACTCCAAGCGTGATATAAAATATTTCCACATCCCCAAATACACATTGAATTTCAAATTCTTTTGGGAATTTCCCCCTGATTACAAGGTCAGATCACATGATCTTACCCCTCATGATCTAGAAGTAGGCAAGGTCAGTAAAGATAAATGTGTCTGAGTACATCACTTTAGGAAATGCTTTCTGCCCATAATTCTAACAAGATGCTTTTTCAATCTGCTGATCTTTCCTTAGCATGTGAATGTGGGGGAAAAGCCATGGATGAGCACCAATAAGGCTCTCTACATTGGACTTGCCGCTACCGCGCTAATATTGCTCAGTGTTTTGGCGGCTGTGATTACCAAAAGTACGTAAGTCATCCCAGGGTTGTGCCGAAGGGAACAGAGCGAGGGTCCTAGAGCCAAAGGGCCTGGTTTCAAGCAGCTCCACACACCACATTATTCTGATTTTACATAACTTCCCCATTTCATAACCTTGTTCTTTTTTTGTTTCTGTTAAAAATATTGGCCTGTAAAGAGAAAAATGAAATTTAAATTCTCCACAGAGAAATTAAATATTAAGATGTCAGAGTTTGTTGGGTAGAGTTGGGATTTGCAAGGCAACAAACCTTATTATGTAAGATTTGTTTACTCTTTCTCCTGTCCTTCCCTCAAGACCCAATTTATGTTCCATGAAGGATAACATTGTGCAGAGTCTTACAACACTCACTTAACCGAGGAGGCCGATGAGACAGTGGAAGGGAAACAGATCTCAGTAGCTATCCACCAGCTGTGTGTGTGTGTGTGTCTGTGTGTGTGTGAGAGACCGGCCTTCATGAAGAATCACACATTCCATTTTTTACAAGCGAAGTATAATTATTCCAATTGCATTAAGTAAGTCTGGGCATGTGTGTGAATACACTAAACCAACAATGAACCTGAGATAGTTTGCACAAAGGGGCTCATGTAGGTCGTACGTATTCGGAAGGAGTTACCTGAAGGTATCACGTAAGAGCCTAGGTTGAGTTTTATTTGTTTTCTTTTTTAAAAGAAAATATTCTTTTAAATTTACATTTTTCAGACCCTATCTCTGTACAGATTTTGCTTATATTAGAGTAATAGCAGAAATAATGTATATGTTTGGGAGAAGAACTCTTTGGCTGACATGTTTAATTTTCTCTTCAACTGTTCCCCAATTTAGGACATTTATGTGTGAAAAGAAAGGTGTTGAATATAAGGTAAGCTCTAAAGGTTTGTGTTGCTGCCTTTGGATGGCTCCTACCCTAATGAAAATAAAGAAAAATTTCTGTCTGTCCCTCTCCTCCTTCCCCTGAACTCTCCATTCTGCACCCCAGATGCTGAAAACTCTAGTGTAGTGAGGGTCTGCATTGCTGTCCGCAGTGTCCAGTGATAGTTTGAGCTTTCCGTATTCCCCTGGCATTGTGCCAGGAACCGCTCCAGAAACAGCGCCCCGTCCTCACCTCTCAGAGTAACGGAACTAAGTCACAAGTTATGTCTGATGAAATTACACTGGAATGAGTTGTTTGGTTTGTCCGTGATTTCACTCAGTCCTTTGTTTACTGAAAGTCTATTATAGTCCAAAGAGATGAACAAAACAGACACAACACAAAAGCAAATGAACAGGGTCCTGTTAGTGCTTCCAGGCAAATACCATGGGGACCGTAGACCCGGGTAGGGGGCTGTGTGAGTGAGCCCCGATGGACCAGGTGGCCGCTTGCAGAGACCTGGAGGGAGATGACGCCAGGCTCAAGCAGGGCACAAGCTCTGAGGTGGGGTGGGGGCCTCCAGGGCTCTGCAGACCCCCGCCCCGCTGTTCCATCCAAAGCCTGCTTTCCTCCTTCATGTTGGTTGTCTGGCCTCATAGACATTTGATTTACAATTTGTGTAAATGTATCCTACTGCTCACTTAAAGCTTAAATCCCCTTTACTTTCCTTCATGCCCTGGGTTCTTCTGAGCAAACACCTGATCGGTGTGAAACCACTACCTGCTACCAGTTCCAGGTAGCCTGCTTCATTCAGTGGGTTTGGGCTTTAAGCAAGGTCTTTCTGTGGCTCAGAAGCCATCCTGTCAGGCTGCCATGCCTTACTGGTGGGTGTCAATCTTTCCTATGTCTTCATCACATGAGCCAACCCACCGAGTCTGCCTTGGGCGTCACCCACCACCCTGCAAGTGCTCTGCGGGTGTGGGCTTCAGTTGTCGCCGTCATTCCTGCCTGTCACCGCACCTGTGACACAGGCACTGCTGTTCTCGCTCCTCACGTCAGAGAACGGGCTTCGAAACATTGAGTGACGTCCAAGTTCACAACATACAGTAAATAAAAGACTCAATATTAGGTCTTTCAGAGTTCAAAACCCATGCTAATGGAAGCTTTGACCTCCTGCTTCCATCCATAGAAGGGGAAAAACACTTCTTATCGCCAGAAGCATGGACCATAGCGTCCCTTTAGTTGGTGTCTGTCCTTTCAATGTCAATGTTTTCTTTATGTTCACCTCTTATCACTTAGTTATAAATGAAAACATGTTGTAGACATGTTGTAAAATATAAAAAAGCTTAAAAAAAGAGCCTTTTCTTATGACACTTTTGGCAGCTCTACCACACTGGCTCATTTCGAGCTAGTGACACCTAAACGGTCTCGCACTTGTGTGCCTGGTTTAGTTAAAGGTGAGCCGAGTGAAGACTCGGTACATTTCATGTCATTTCTGGGTAGGCTCAGGTAATAAAAAAAATTACTGTACACGAATTATGAAATAGCAGCTGTACCAAAGCTTGACTCATACCTCTCTGTCCACCTGACATGTGAATGTGTGTGTCATCAAAGCCATCCAGCTCATGGCTTTCCGGTCGTGACCATAGAGAGAGGAGGGTTTTTGGCACCGTCATCCAGTACACACTTGTGTGAAACAGTGCTGTTTGACCGCATTCAGTATGCTCTGGTATTTTGTATTATTCTCGTTTTATCTTAAATGCAAGATGTACATCACTCCCTAGATATAAAATTTCACCCCGAAATGACCCAACCCACAGTTGGGAAAGCACCAGCCAAACCATTTGCCAGCCGCCTTTGACAATATTCATCTTGATTCCTTAGTACTTCAGTCTGATTTCTGGTAATTGTCTTTGATTATTTTTCTATTCTATTAACATGAATCTCTTCAGAGAGGATAGTCTGAATATGTCTTAGGTTTTGTTTCGTGTTTCAATCCTGCTTACTAAGCAAACTATCCTGCGACTTAACATTCACAACCCTGGAAGCCTCTCTACTCGTGTGACAGGTTGTGTGAGTGGGGCTCTGGCATTGCAAGTGAACAACCGTGCTGCTCATTACGTAGAAGTGACCTGCTTTTCTCTTACCATGTGATTCTTTTTGTAGCAAGCCTTCACCTATAGAGCTCCTGACCGGAACTCTGCCGAATGACACGGCAGTGCACTACCAAGCAGAAGAGAGCGTCCACCTTGAGAACAATGTTTACAGTGGGAATTAAGACCCAGAGACCGTCCAAGGCTTTACGCCCTTGACCGCAGAAGACAACGACCAGATCTCACCATGTCAGAGTCCTTTAAAGCACCACAGTGACTTTTCTGTCAATTTCCCACTGTATTCCAACCTGTCAGTGATGTCGGTTCGAGTGTTTCTAGCTCATGTGTGTAGTCGACCTTAGTGGTGATCGGTCCTAAATTTTTATGTGAAACCGGCTCAGTCTTTCTGATCATAGCCAAGCTCTCTCCCAGGTATGAAATGAACACTTTAGACTTTATGAATTCTGTGTCCTGCAAGAATTCTCACTGGAGAGACAGGGAGAGGACTGCTACCTTGGCCACATGGGACTTGAAATCAAAATCTGACTTGGTACTTAAATGACTTCACTTGGAAGCATTCAATGATTATCTCTTGTTTTTTATCTTGTTAACTCTAAATGTTGCATTTCTTCAGTCACCCAAGGGTTTCAAATCATGGAGGGGCATAGGTTTTTATTTCTTCAATGGGGAAATAAATTGAGTGTGATTTTGCTTTAGATCTTTTCTTCATGGTTCTAAATATGTGAAGTTTTAAAAGAATATTTCATCCATTTTTTTGTTTTTAAGATTTTATTTAACTTTAGAGAGAGGGGAAGGGAGAGAGAAAGAGGGAGAGAAACATCAGTGTGTGGTTGCCTCTTGCGCACCCCCTACTGGGGACCTGGCCCACACCCCAGGCGTGTGCCCTGACTGGGAAATGAACCGTTGATCCTTTGGTTTGCAGGTGGGCAATCAATCCACTGAGCTACACCAGCCAGGGGTGGATGTGTAAAGTTTTAAGTACTTTCTCTTGGACCAGGATGGGGTTTCTAGTAGTTAGAAGAACAAGGGTGGTGAGTGGACCAAGCAGATCAGGGGACGGTCAGTTTCCACCTGATGTAACACACACACTCTGTTCCTGCTACATCTGGGCCATAGCTCCCGGCACTGACGTAGACCACTGTCAGGGAATCTGAACCAGTTTTTAGAAGGATGTATGGAAGAGATTTTTAAGAAAAAAGAAAGAGATTGGGGAAGAAGGCTTGCTGCCTTAGGAAAGTGCAATAGCATTGTTTGAGAGGACCACTAGTTTCAACTGAGATTCTAAATTGTCCCCGACCACTTTGGTTATCAAAATAATTTTAGAAAAATGAAGGTTTTATTTCGTATCAAATCAATTTCAATGCTCTTCCTTTTTCACGACTGAATTAACTTTTTGAATTTTGCCAAGAGTTAAACAAGCAAAAACTAAGGATATTTTTCATCACCAGAAACATTTCTACATTAATAGTCCACAAGGCTGGGTATTGATTTCAATTTGAGTTAATCCTGAAATAATTCACGCTTGGGGTTCGGTGCTGTTCACACCAGGGTGGTCCAGGAGGGCAGGGTGCTTGTACTTGAAGGCAACATTTTTGACACAATCCTGCAGAATTCTAGAAAATTAATAGCAAGTATCCGTGAGTAAAGGTTATATGGGTAAATAAGATTGTTAAACATTGTCTATCAGAGTTCCCAAATTGGGCCAGCCTAATCTGGTCTAAAAAAGTTTGTTCAAATTACAGTGTTTTTCTTTTAAATTCAAGACAACATGCATGAACATGGAGATTTCAGTTTAAAGCCCGGATCTGTAGCTTCTCTGGAAAGACCTGTGGCATTGGGTGGCATTCCTATGCTGTCAGGACCTTGTAGGTGGCATCCCATCCTCTCACCCCTAGTCCTTCCTTGCCTTACCTGCAGGTCACGCTTGTTACCTGCTTTGTGACTTGTGGGGCTTCGGATTCTGATGCAGTTCCATTCTGCATCACCTCATGACAGCGCATCGAAGGCTCTGGGGTTCTGGCAAGCTTTATTTATTCCAGCATTTCCAGTGCTTTTGTTTGGAGGTCATGAGCACAGTGTTAGCTGCTGGCCTGCCCACTAGCACCCAGTAAACCATAATGGGGGGGGCGGGTGCAGGGGGAAGCAGGCGGTAAGCAGAGTTAGAAATAAAACTTGAGTTCCAGCTTAACTCTTACCGGTGACACTGGATAACATTGGGGCAGGTTGTTTCTAATGCCTTCATTTGTACATCTGTTAGAGATCATTATTCCCATAGCTGGGTCAGAGCACAGTGACAACTGTGAGAAGTCTGAAAAGTAAACACCATTACAGAAATGCAAAGGGTTTTTATTTTGTTCGATCTTTTCGTAAGAGTAGGTCTATGGGGAGGGGTGGGTGGGTGGGCGGGGATGGGAGTAAAGGACAGAAAACTACACTTGAACAACGATTAAAATAAAATTTAAAAGAGTAGGTCTACTATTGGTGCTTAGTGAATAATTTCAATAATGTTACATTCATTAGTCTCTTGCTGTATAGTACCTCTTATGTTTTTAAATAATGTTTTTTGAAAAGTTAATTTGGCCATCATTTAAAACTAGAAAATAGTTGTCAATAACAGCGGAAGGAAAGAAGGGGAGGTATTTAGTTAATATTGCATTTTTTTCTATAAATGTATTAACCTTGTATAGAGTTTTGTTTTTGATCCTTTCAAACTGTTGAGTTTTCATTTCCTAAAATCTGCCTTGGGACATTAGGATATGGGTGTAATTAAGACCATATTTTAAACTTAGGTCATTTGGCACCTCTTTAAGAAGCAGCAGAACCAATCTCTTGCTGATGGTGGTGAAGGTAATTGTGCATACGTGGAAGTGTGAGGGCCTCCTATTCTCACTATGTGAACACTCACCAATAAATGCGCTTTTTGTTTTCACTTTGAAAGCTGACGTTTTGTTTTTCTCAGGCTCATCAGTCGTCTCTGCCTGGCACCTTCGATGCGCTGTGGGTCCCCAGGACAAGGGCAGGTGGGGCAAGATTGGGGAGTCAGGTGTGCCTGGCACTCCGCTGTGTGCTGGGGCTGGAGCAGAGAACAACCCTGAACTTCAGTTCTTGAGGAGCTGCAGTTTAGTAGGGGACCCCCACCCCCAAACCATCAATTCCGGTACCAATTAATGCTGCAGAGAGTGAGAATATAGTGACAGAGCCGGGTTTCTCATGTGGAGCCAGATAACTGTTCGTTGTGGGGGCCGTCTGTGCACCATAGGATGTTTAGCAGCATCCCTGACCTCTACCAAAAGGGGACAGTTGTGATCCTCCAGTGCTGACAACTGCAGATGTCTCCTCTCATCCCCGGTTGAATATCACCATGATACAGGATGCTGGGGTGCGGGGAGGTGAGGTGTGTGTGGGGGGAGTGTGGGGAGTGGTGAGATTGGTCAGGGACTGCTGCTGAGAAAGAGGTGACATTTGAGTTACACCAAACGAGGCAGCTTCTAGGAGGAATCCAATGGCCTTGGGGCAGGAAGAAGCCTGTGCATTCAGAGGCAGAGAGGAAGGTGTGTTCCAAGGACTAAAGAAGCTCCTGACCTGCACGACTCAGGTGGTGGGGCATCTCACAAAGTGAAAGTTCACCGGTTAGATACCTGGTCAGAGCACATTCCTGGGTGCAAGTGATTGATGTCTCTCTCTCACATCGATGTTGCTCTTCACGTTCTTCCCTGTCTCTAAAAATAAATAAATAAAATCTTAAAAAAAAAGTCAGTGTGGCCACAGCAAAGTGAGGGAGGAAGTTTGAATGAGGAGGCTGGAGACATGGGCACTGTTGCGTGGGTGCTGGCTGCAAAGGGCGCTGTGAACACATCTGTTTGAGAAGAGTCTGTCTCTTAGAAACATTTACATGTTAAGGGCTAAACCTGCTTATTATACTAAGATTTATTAACATGCTTCAGTGACGTGTCCTAAGTTTACATATATAGAGCCAGTTTGATTGGGGTGCCAGAAGAGTAGGTTGGGGGAGGATATGGGAGTGGGGTGCACTCTGGCAGTGAGGGACTTTTCACAAGGCTGTGTGAGGGCTTCGGGACAGGGGTCCTGGAAGAGGAGAGACAGGGTGTCCGAGTTAGAGCCCCTGGGCTGGGCAGCAGCTGAAGCAGCTGAATGCAGTCTTCCCAAACTCGCGGCCCGGAGGAGTGGAGAGATGCACGCTGGCGGTGATAAAGGCCTCAGATACCCACTCTCCGCTCCATAGGTCAACCCACTTTTCGGGAATGCCTGTCTCCCGTATTTTCTCTGGGCATGTCATTCCTCAAGGCTCAGCTCAAATCTCACCTCTCTGGTGGTGCCGGACCTCATTGCCCTGGCCAGAATTAATCCCCTGTTACGGGCCCTTCCGTGCAGCCCTTTTTATCACTTGACCAGTATGCCAGGCATGGTGCCGTGTCCACTTTCAGTCATTCTGCAGGAGGTCAGGGCCTATCTGGCACATGCAGCACATTTGGGTGAATTACAGAGACGCTCCTGCCCCCCTTTTCCGGCTGACACAGCCCCTGAGCCAGAGCAGAGGCATGTCAAATGGAGTCTGTCCAACTGGCAAGCACGCATGGTGGTTCTCTAGTGACGCTGTAACTCAGGCCTCCGTGTCCGAGATGTGTGGGTGGACGACGCTCTGTGTACTGCGTCTTTGAGGGAGGGGCCTTCAGTTTCTCAGCACCCACCTGGCTTGCACATAGTAGGTGCTCAGTGCGTTTCTATGAAAATCGAAGAATGTTTCCTAGAACCTTCCTGTGTGCTGAGCTTGGGGTGGGGGAGAGAGAAGTGTGTTTAAAACTCTCTTTTACGATATAGAACCAACACTCTTCATATGAGTGGCTGCAGCCTGGGCACCTCAAAGCCTCTCCGAGACCGGTGCTGTGCAACATTGGCTGAGCCTTAGAATCACCCGGGAAGCTTGGCCAACTGCGCATGCCCAGACCAATGGACCCAGAATCTCACAGGTGGGACCCAGATAGCACTAGTTTTTTATTCTCCCCAGGTGATTTCAATGTGTAGGCGAGGCTGGGAACCACTGAGTTAGGGAGACTTTGGCGAGGGAAGGTGAGCGCATGTTTTCCTGTTCTGTGCGACGGGCGCTCTGGAAAAGCGTAGGAGATACAAACGGAAACAGAAAAACATCGACCATGGGACAGGCGAACAACAGCGGGGGCGTGACGCCTGGCGACAGCAGGTGGTCCCTGTGTCTGGCTCCCTCGACGCAGGACTACACTGGTGGCAGCCCCGGGAATGAGAAGACGGCCCCGCCATGCTTCTGAAAGCTTCTTGGGAAACTGGCCCAGTTGCCAGCTGACTGTCCCTGGGCCTCCTTCCTAAGAACTAGATGTTTTCTTCCACAAGCTGTAAAAATAAGCAAAGAGGAAAGTCCCTCTGGCCTCCCAGGGGTTGCTCTAAGGTAACCTTCTTTGTCCCACACTGTGGGCCACTGAGATGGGCTCTGTCTGTCTGGGGCGTGCTGAACCGGCCTGGGGCTAAACAGTACTTGGGTGATGACTGATTCACACGTTCCTCAATGGAGTTCATTTTTAAAATAGTTTATGTTTTATTGTATTTTTTCCCATCACTGTTTCCCACTTACACCCTTTTCCTCCTCCACCGGCCCCGCCAACAATCACCACACTGCTGTCCATGTCCATGAATTCTTTTTCTTTTTTGCTTGATTCCCCCTCCCCCACCCTTCTCTCCATCTATGAGTCTATCTCTCTTTTGCTTATTAGTTTGGTTTGTTCATGAGATTCCACATATGAG